AGAAAAGTTGTGAAGGCAGCTCTGGATCCCCACAGACAGACACACAGGGAGCTGCTGGGCTCATTTCTAGGCAGCAGAGAGCACCAAGGACACAGTGAAATGAGAATCTCAGGGAGGAGGAAAATGTTCTGCTGTCCAACAGAGAGGGCTCCACACAGGAGGAAGGCATCAGGGGAGGGGGTGGCCTGACTCCTGCAAATATTTTTTGGAGGAAACAATTTAACCTCTAACCCAGATCTAGAAAAAACATCTGTGAAATACCTGCACTGTATTTGGGTGGATTTTGTCTTGAATTTTTCTGGGAGATGGGAGAAGTTGGCAAATGAATGGACACTGTACAAAGCCAACACATTTGCTGAGGTGAAATTGCCCTGCTCCTCTGTTACTTTTGGTCAGAATCTGTGCTTTGGTCTCAACCAGCCCACGGTTCAGAGGAGCCCAGAGGGGCCTGGAGGCTGGTGAGGGTGTGTTGAGCACACATTGCACTGCTCTTCATGGGCACATCTTAGGGCTGTACAGCAGGAATGTGTAAACCCCAGGCTTTGACATCCTGCTGCTCCCCAGCTGTTGCAGAGGATTCAGCCTTCTGATTTCATTGTCAGGCCATATTTGAAGGGGCCACTGGCTTGGCCTTTTGACACAGCTAATGCAACCCCATCACTGGTATGAGCTCCCACAGAGCCCACTGCAGTCTGTTCTAGCTTTGCTTCCAAGAATTGAAGTTCTTGCTTTGTTAAACACTTTCACATCTGCCTATTTTAATATCTGAACACCTGGGAGTTATAAATGCAGTTCAACAGGTCCCTCTCCCTTGGCTGAGCTGATGAAAGCTCATTTTCCAGCCTGCAGCAAAGGAACAAGGGCTCAAAACCTTGCAGATAGTCTGCACTTGAATTTTAGCATCCAGGCTCAGTGTTAATCTTTATTGCCAGTGCCCTCAGCTTTAGATCCTGACAGAGGGCACTGAGACACTGGCTGGGGACTCCCTCAGTGACCAACAAAATGAACATCAGTAGAGGGGCACCTTCCACCCCTCAGGTGTGGGGCACCCTGTGCACCCTCCACCCCTCAGAGACAGCACTTTCCTGCCTCAGGGACCTCTCAAACACCTCGCCTGTTCATCTGACTGCACCCGAATGTGCTCCCTTAGTCCCACTTCACACTCCCCTGAGTGTAGGGGAAGCAAGAATATCCTAGATCCCACCAGAACCTCTGGGGCCATGGACCAGTGTTTCCCAGGAGCCTCCAGGCTTATGGCATTAACCAGAGGTCTGGCACCATGAGAAAGCAATTTGGTTATCAGCCCCAGTTAAAGTGACCCCATAGGCTTGTTTCTGTGTCTCTGGGGGTGGGCAGAGCACAGTTTGTGGGGGTGAAGGTGGGTGATGCTGCCTGAGCTGGTTCAGGCTGCACTGGGGTCAGTCCACAGCCCCCCATGGTGGGTGGGTGACTGACAGCCCAGACCCCCCCCCCCGAGCTCCAGGTGCTCTCGAGGCAGCAGTTTGCTTCTCTCCATAATCACTGTGGACAAGGAAACATCTCCACAGGATCCATTTCTCTGCTCTGCCGGTGCCAGGTTGAATTGTGTCCAGGATCCTGTCACTGGGGCTGGCTCTGGTACAGCTTCCCTGCCTGCTGGAGTCTGGGAATGACTTGCTTCTCTCCTCTCAGTTTGGTGCACACCATAGACCTGCCTTTCTCTGTTGTTTTTTTGCAGACAAGCCACGAATGAACAACATCCTCACTTCTGCCACCGAACCCTACGACCTGTCCTTCTCCAGGTCCTTCCAGAACCTCTCTCACCTCCCACCATCCTATGAATCTGCTGTCAAGACGAACCCGAGTAAATATTCTTCTCTGAAGAGACTAAGTAGGTGTCAGCTCATTTCATTTCCTTTGTATCTCTTTGTTTTGAGCCTCACTGGGCTCAGTGTTCAGCCAACAACCTCCTCCCTCTGCTCTGCTCTCCCGGGTTGGCATCTCCAGTAATGATTCCTTTGGCTGTCGCTTCCCATCAAGGATGAGGAGAGGCAAAGAGTCATTTCATTACTGGGAGAGTACATGTGGTTATTTGCTTACTGACCTCCTTGCTGTGCTGCCTCCCACTCCTCCACCTCAGTCTGCTCCTGATGGAGTCCGCTGAGAATCCTTTTTTTCTCTGCTGGAGTCCAGGAGAGCTGAGGGGGCTCAGAGCCCACCTTGGCACCCCAGGGCAGGTCTCTCCATCCACAGGAGTAGCTGGAACCAGATAACAACAGAAAGCTGCTGAGATTATTGGGAGCATCTGTGTCAGGAGGTGACATCCCTGGGCAGTGCTGTGATCCCTGTGTTCCATGGGGTGTGTGCCCGGAGCTGGTCTTGGCCTGTGCCCTACACTGATCCAGCCTTTTGGGTGTTCCAGCACATTTCTCTACTCACACAGGTCAGGATCTCTCCTTTCTTGCTCCTGTATGCCCTGTTCTGCCTTGATGAAAAACTTCAGCTTCAGTGGGATTATGGAACAAGGGATTTTTGTGCAGTCAAATGCTCTGTCCAGACTCACCCTGGGTCTGCAGTTGGATGTTTCCATGAGCAGTTTCTGGATGCAGCCATGTATTTCCAGTGCCTAATTTAGAGAAATAACTTAGGTGTTTATACTTGCAATACCTTCACTGAGAGAAGGTGAGGATGAGGAGCAGATATAACTTCCTTAGTCTGAATAAACTTGCATTCCCAATTTAGCCAGTTAAGTGAGACACACACAATTAAGTGGCAGGGAAGCCCTTGGATTTTCTGTAAGATATATCTGTGGAATATTTTTCAGAAGAGACAAAGGAAATGTAACACAAAAAAACCTCAGTCCAGTCTTTGACACTTCAACATGGGATTTACATACCTGTTTAATATTAAGTCAAACACATTTGATGTGCTTAAAAGTAAACATGTGCTTAACTGTATTGGAGAACAGAGCTCAGGTATTTGGAGCTTGGAACCTGCCACCTCCATGATTCAGTTTGCCATGTGCCATGTTTCCCTGGAAACATTTGGATCTTACACTCTCAACCAAAAGAATATCCCCCCCACTGCATCCCACTGATGAACAGTCCATGTTCATGGGTATAATACCAGATATTGGAAACCCCTTGAAATCATGACACTGTAATATTACTGCTTCAAAATATTCCCATTTTGAGGCGAGAATTTATTTTCATTTCTCAGCTGAAATAAAAAATTCCCAACACACAAAATATACCCCCTGGAGACACAGGAACAGGTTGCCCAGAGAAGCTGTGGCTGCCCCATCCCTGGAAGTGTCCAAGGCCAGGTTGGACGGGGCTTGGAGCAACCTGGGCTAGTGGAAGGTGTCCCTGCCCATGGCAGGGGTGCAAGTGGATGAGCTTTAAGGTTCCTTATAACCCAAACCAGTCTGGAATTTTACAATATGATTCTATGGTTTCACAGACATTTATCTAAAATGACAAAAGTTGTGTTAAGCTGCCAAGATTGAATGTTCTCAACAATGTGCTGAGCAGTCAGTGCTCCTCTCCTGAGCTTTTCCTGACCCTCTGGGCTGTTGCTGTCCCTGTCACTGTTCACTGGATCCCTGAGAGTCAACATGAACCCAAAACATCAGGGTTTGCCTTTGGCCACTGCCTTGAGTGGGGTTCAGTGACCCCCTTAAATATTCAGCACCATCAACCCTAGAAGTGGAAATACCAGGTATTCCCCCTCCAGGGCAGGTGTGGACAGAGCTCAGGGATCTTTGCAAGGCACCAACTCATCCTCTTGCAGAGCACCTGGCAAATGCCAAACCAAGTGCTTGGCACTGTATTTTTGAGTAACTAAATAGACAGTTTGGACTCTGAAAGTGCCAAGCACTCCCAGCTCCCACTGGGATTGAATACATTCAGCACCTCCAGAAACACTGAATCACTTTCTTACAGCTGCTCTACTCCAGAGCCAAAGGAAAACAGGCACACAGCTCCCAGACCTTCCCTTGGAAAATACCAGCAATATAATTTTCTTATTCCGTGTGAAGGAGCTAAAGGCAACACAAAGAATGTAATATTTAAATGCTGGAGTTTGAAAATTACTTATTGGGAGTTCATTGTTCATATGTAAAAAGACTTCTTTCCAATGAACTCCCTGTTGGGGTTAAAAAAATAATTAAAAAAAAGTTAATGAAGAGCTCCTTAACAAATAAAATATTTCTATTTAAGTAAAATAAAAGGCATTAGATACTTTTTAAATCTATGTTTCAGCTGTTGGTCTGCACTTCTTTGGGCTTACTAGGCAGGTAAATGTTACTTATTTTCCTCCAGTTAGCAGAGACAGGCAGTGAAAGACAATATCTGCCCAAGAATATTGAATAATCAATCAAGAAGAAATAAAATTTAGTATCTCTTTGCCAGAGATAAGGACAGAGCCCAGCAATGGCACAGTCAGCTCCACCTCAGCCACCTTGGCCACAGAGCCCTCAGAGATCCTGTGTCTGTTCAGTGCTGGGATCAGGGAAGGACAGTCCCTGTGACCCCTCGGAGGGTCCCAGTGACACCAGAGCTGCTCTCGGGGGCTGCCCAGCTCTTTGCTGGATAATAACCCCAGTTTATGATGCCCAGGAGGGCCAACCCTGTCCTGGGGCATCAGGGAGGGGATTGTCCTGCTCTGCTCTGCCCTGGGGCGGCCTCACCTCAACATTGGGGCAGTTTGGGGGGGACACTATGGAAGGGAGAGATTGAGCCATTAGAGAGTGTCCAAAGGAGGGAAGGAGGATGGGGAAGGGCCTTGATTTGAAGGCGTGGGAGGACACTGAGAGCACTTGGTGTGTTCAGCTGGAGAAGAGGAGACTGAGGGGAGACCTCAGTGCAGTTCCACCTTCCTGGGCAGGGGCAGAGGAGGGGCAGGGACTGAGCTCTGCTCTGGGGGGACCAGGGACAGCAGCCAGGGAATGGCTGGAGCTGTGTCAGGGCAGGCTCAGGTTGGATCTCAGCCAAAGGTTCTTCCCCCAGAGGCTGGTTGGGCACTGCCCAGGCTCCCCAGGGCAGTGGGCACAGCCCCAAGGCTGGGTACCCCCTCCATGGGAAGACCTGCTCCAGCCCTGCCCTGGCAGCCCTGCAAGGTGGGAAAAGCAGTGGTGGGTGGGTGTGGGAACCCCTGGCTGAGCAAGAGCTGCCCTATTAATTCCATCCTGCCCGGAGCTCCAGGGAATTGCTCTTTCCAGCTAAGTGAGAAAGGTCAGTCAGGAAGGAAGGTGATATTTTCAGGCATATTAAACCACTTGGTTTTGGCTAAAGAATCCTCACAAATGACTAGGCAGCTTCAAAATGTTAAGGCCAATTAAAACAGGAGGTACAAGCCAGAAGAGAGAATATGTTGGAGCTGCAGAGAAAGAAAAACAGAGGAACTACCTTTAAGAAAAGCAAAGGAATTGCTCTAATGGCCTCAGACACACACACATACATGTGCATCTACTTTTACCATGTTAATTACAACCACAGGAAGCAAAAATACCCTTGGCTTTTCCATATTCTCTTCCCAGATCACTAAAAATGTTCCTTGTTTCTCTAATTCCAGTGTCAGAGGAGTTGGGCTCTGCCTTTCTTATACATGTTGAAGTGTAATGTGTGAGTAAGAGCACTTAGAGAGCACTTATTTGGGGATCTCCCCACAAATTGGAGGAAAAAAAAACCAAAAAAGCAGTCTAAGGGAAAATCAGTTTATCCTAAAGTCAAGGCAGTTGAAGCACTCAAATATTACTGAAATTTGGTGAGACCAGCCCTGGTCAATGTTCCAGAAACTGCCAAAGGAGGAAAGAAAGGGCAGAAAAAAACCCAATCAAAACCAATGAAAAAAACCCAGAAAGTGTGCAGAAAACATAATTTCCAGTTCCAAATGTTTAAAAACACAAGTGATGACCCAGAACAATGGGATTGACTTAAAAAAAAGAGAAATTTTTGTCAATCAATACACCAGTGATTTCTTTTTGTCTGCTTACAATTTCTGGCCTTTTGGAATCCACTTTTTTGAATTTTTAAGCACATCCTTGATGGACAAACATATTGGATTGTGCAGAGTCTCCATCTCCTTGGTGGAGAAACATACTGGTAGTTTTATTTTGTCTGAAACTACAATTGTCTGTTCTCAATGACAAGATAAGGGGCAGTGGCATGAGAGCCTCAGTGTCCCAGTGTAATGAGGATGAGATGGATCAGATTGGAAGGTGGCCCTGCCCGTGGCAGGGGGTGGAATGAGCTGATCTTTAAGGTCCCTTCCAATCCAAACCATTCTGTGATTCTGTGATTTCTGTTCCCGGGGAGAATTTGTTTTTAGCCAATTATGAAACCAGACATCCCCAGTTCCCACCCCAATCCACTGGAGCCTCCAATCTCCAGAGCCTGGGGCTGTGTTTGGTTCCTGGCTGTCCCTGGGTGCACAAACACTGTGGTTACAGAGCTGTGCTGAGCTTGTCTCTTGGCACTGAGGCACGTCTGTGCTGCAGAACCTTGGCCTCCTGTCAGGCTCCGTTCTCCACCACTGGCTCACACTGACACCACCTTTCAGAGGCAACAGCCTGGTAAAAGTCTGTCTGGTGCCTGCTTAAACCAGCTTGTTGTTCATGAGAAACTGCTGTTTCAGCTTTGATTCCTTTGAGGTGGAGATGTGAAGTGTGTCTACACCAGGAAATGTTCCCAGAGCAGCTGTGCCAACATCCACACGTGTCCCTCAGCATCGTGGGGGGCACAGCCTGTGTGAGCTTAGAATAACCTTTGAAATGAAATCAGCTCCCTAAAAGGTTCAACCATGACCAGCAAAAAGCTGTACAGGGTTGTACATGGGATGGGAGAGGGGAAAAAAGGATATTTTTAATGCTACTAATGGGAAAAAAATTTTAAGGTGTAGAGAATGCTGGGGGTTTAATCTAAATTAGCAAGGAACAACTTCAAACCACTTTTCATCAGCTGATTCACCTCACTAAAGCAGCCTCAGATGCTGCAGACCTCACATAAGCTGGTTTAGCTCCTGCTGGCAATTACCACAGCCAGGTATGGGCATCCAAGCACATCTCCATTTGGGATGTTCTCAACTTTAATTACATCTATTTAGAGTCACTTGGGCAAATCCAGTGGAACTCCTCTCATCCAGAGCAGAGGCCAAGTGCCAGAGTTGTAATTGCTTCATTCCTATTCTGCAGCCAGCCCCAAGCACCACTACCAAGCCTGTGCACACAAAGTGGGGCATTTCTATAGAAATAAACTGTGGAATAAAAATGCCTACACTTACTGTGGCCATATGGAATTTCCCCAGTCCTTCTCAGGCTTCCTCAAGGATGATTTTAAAGACACAAGTGTTTGAGACCAGAGGAGCTGCTGTCTGATATTTGCCATGACATATTCTTCCAAGAAGTTTTTGATTGCAAAAAACAAAGACTCATTCCTCCAATATGTGCTCTGGAGAGCAAATCCCAGCAGCAGGAAGTGTGCCAGCCCAGGAGAGCTGTGGGTGACCTCAGCCTTGGTGGTGTGTGGGCTGCAGAGAAGAGGTTGGCTGCAGTGATGGTGCCAACAGGCCCTTGCACGTGTTCTCAGCTTGTTAATTTGTGTGCTGAGATGGGAACCAACCACCCTACTCACAGATCTTCTGGACTGTGCATGGGCCCATGAGGAGCAGGGTCCAGGGAACAGTGAAGAGAACGTGTGGGAGAGGAGATGAGTGTCATACATAAGTGACATCATCCAGCACAGAGTGCTGACAGCTCTCCAAGGCTGGAGAAGACATTCAGGCACCCTTGAGTAACTGTGGTCTTCTCTGTGGGGACCAGGGACAGGACCTGAGGGAGTAGTCTGAAGTTGTGTCAGGGCAGGCTCAGGTTGGATCTCAGCCAAAGGTTCTTCCCCCAGAGGCTGGTTGGGCACTGCCCAGGCTCCCCAGGGCAGTGGGCACAGCCCCAAGGCTGCCAGAGCTCCAGGAGGGTTTGGCTGATCCTCTGGGGCACAGGGGGTGACTCTTGGGGATGGGCCTGTGCAGGGCCAGGGGTTGGACTCGATGGTCCTTGTGGGTCCCTTCTAACTCAGTAGATTCTGGGATTTTTGTGAGCAAACCTCTGGGATGGTGTCAGCACCCCCTGTGCCACCTGAGCTCTGCCTCATGGGACACCAGCCAATTGTCTTCAACTCTCAGCCAACGTGATGCATCAAACCAACAGATTTATGGCTATTTCAGAGGAGAGAGGAAATTTCCACCCATATTTCACTTCTAGGCCTGTTGGATGCCTACAGAAAATGGGACCACCTCCCTTACCCGCCTCTGGATTGCCCAGACTGTCCTGCAGCAGAGCTTTGCTCTTTTTGTCACTCAAACAACCTTCAGGATCTCCATGCACATGAAATTCTCCTCTTCCACCATCTGATACTTTCCCATCTCTCATCACCTACTACAGAATGAAATATTGAGCTGAGAAAATCAATGGTGTCCCTCTATATTATCATTATCATATATCTTTATCATACTTGTCTTATCAGCAAAAGACTTTCCAAAGGAATTTCGTGTCAGGTCCCAGGAGCTGGTCAAGGACGTGTAGGACAGGATGTCTTTGCCAATCAACACTTGGCTCAAGTTGGTAGGCAAAGTGCACACTGGGTCGTGTGTGTGTGTGTTCCCAGCTCTGTGATCTCCATCCCAAGATGCTCCTATGAGGTTACTTCTCAAGAAAATTGTTTCCTCTGGAAGGTGGAGAAACTTGCTGTACCTGTCCCTGTGGAGCCCCCTTCCTACACACCAGTGAGGGTTGTGTTGTCTTCTCCAAGGAGAGGGGGGCTGCCTGCCAGGTGTCTGGGGTGGGGCTCACTTTGGGGTCTTCTGGAGCCAGAAAGGATGGAGGTGCTTCTGGACACACCAAGGAAACATCTCAGACAAAGAAATGAGGAAGGAGGCCCGTAGAGATGATCAGTGTTGAGCATAAAACATTCTCCATCCCCTGACCCCTGACAGGGGCCAATGTTGTGCTCTTCTCCTTGTGACAGAGACCATTCTGGTGAGGGACTGATGTCCTGTGCTTTACATCTCTGCATCCAGAGGCACAGAGGGAAGTTCTCCCTCCCCTCAAATACCTCCCACCTCCTGGCCTTAATGACATTTCCTTACAGGCTGCACTGGGCTTGAAGCCCAAGAACTGCTAAGCCTCCTTCCGGGTAAGTAATCCCAGTTTACACCATATGAACATCAAAGGGGTTAACCAGGAAGTTTTCACGTTTCTGTTGTTTAAAAAAAATAATCTGAAATAGTTGTGGAATTGCTTCTTTTAATTAAAAGTTGGTTGAATCAGGTCATTCCAGCTGTAGGATTTAAGTGATCTAACATGGTACAGCTGCAGGAGCCAACACACTGACTCTCTAGTGTTTCTCTGAAAGCCAAAGAGAGGAGGGTGAGTGTGTGGAGGGGTGAGATGAGTTTCTGAGCAAAAGAGATCATTTAAGATGCAGAAACAGCGAACTGAGCACAAAACATTCCATGGAATAAATTCTATCAAACAAAGGTATCTGAGAAAAGGGAAACCGAAACCTTAGGCAGGTGTTTCAAAGCCTCAGTGAGAACATCCAGTGACCACCAAACCTGTTTTGTGATCACATTTACAAATATTCACAAATGGTAATTAAAAATGTGATGACGTCACTCATGGACTCCAGGGAACATCCATGTCTGAGGCCAGAGATGAGCTGTGCATTTCCTCAAATGGGGGACTGTCCTGCTCAGCTCACCTGCCCTGTCCTTGCTTTAGAAGTGTATTGAGAAGGTGATATTTGCTACTTTCTCCAAAACTCACCTTTTGTGTAAATCACGTCATTCCAAGTCTGGGCTCGATGGCACATGGGATCTGTTGTTTCATGGTGCAAGAAGGTGAGTGTTTGCACAGGGACTCCCCCCATCCCCATGCAATTAAAACTCCTTCCTCTGCCATAGGCCCGTGGTGACACAACCCACACGGGGCTGGGGTCTCTGACAGGCAGCTCCTGACGTGGGTGGTTGATGGTCCCTGAGGCTGCTCCAGGGCTGTGTGCTGGGCACAGCTCCTTTTCCCCCTGTGGAACAGCACTGTGACATTCCTAAACCGCTCCCTTTCCCTCCCCACAGCTGACAAGGAGGCTGACGAGTACTACATGAGGAGGAGGCACCTGCCCGACCTGGCGGCGCGGGGGACGCTCCCCATCAACGTCATCAAGATGTCCCAGCAGACCAACCACCGGGACAGGCCCCGCCGCCCCATCCGGGCCATGTCCCAGGACAGGGTGCTGTCCCCTGAGAGGATCATGCCCGAGGAGTTCAGCATGTCCTACGAACGGATCCTCTCGGACGAGCAGCTGCTGTCGGCCGAGCGCCTGCACTCCCAGGACCCGCTGCTGTCCCCGGAGCGCTCGGGGTACCCCGAGCAGTCCATGTCCCGGGCACTGTCCCACACGGATGTCTTTGTGTCCACACCAGTCTTGGATCGCTACAGGATGTCAAAAATGCACTCCCATCCCAGTGCCTCAAATAACTTGTACAACACTCTGGGGATGACCCCCACCTCGGCCAAGCGCCAGGCCTTCGCCTCGCGCCGCCACAACACCGTGGAGCAACTGCATTACATCCCCGGCCACCACCACCACTATCGCACGGCCAGCAAGACTGAGGTGACTGTGTGATAGGACCTCGGGCCTTGTACATACTCTGTAAGGACTGGGGGAGCCACAGCGCCCCACACTGCAGTGGCCTTATAGGCCAAGGTAACCTCTACTAACTCAGTGTCTGCAAAGACTTCTCTGACAGTCCCATCCACGTTGTTTTTAAAGCCACCCCTTCATCGGTGACATGAGAAGAACCCAAGCAAGCCAACAGACAATAGTGAGGGATAATAGAGGAAATTTTCCTGATGTGCATCAGTTTCTGTCAAAGAAAGCCATGGTAATCGATGGCTCCTTCCAAGGGCTCACCTGCATCATCTCATTGTCCCCATGAATTTAGGACTTTTCCGTTGCTCCAGGTAGAAGCAGTCCCATGCGGCCCGAGGTAGAGAGGAGGAAACACAGCACCCCATCCTGTCAGGAAGGGGCTTGTCCTCATGTTTGGTCTTTCTGTAGCAAGGAGGGAAGTTCTGGCTGCTGGGGGTCACCCCCAGGCTGCTCGACACCAGTCAGCACCCACACATCTGTTCCTTGTCACCCTTGGAGCAAGTTCAAGGGCAGACTTTCCTTGGGGACTGGCAGATCTAGGGACAAGAATAGCCTGGCTGAGAAATAAACTTTTAGTATATATTAAATATACTCATAAGATACAAACATACTAGTGCCTACAAATCGCCTGCTCTCTCAGTGTAGGAAGTAGTGGGGTTGATGTGTTCAATAAGCACAAATACGCTGAAATGCTTGTTTCCCTTTCCTCCACTCATCATTCTAATATCTTGGTGTCTCCAACATGTAAATAGGAAGGAGGAATAGGGTTTCTCTTCCTCCAGCTTCTTGCCACTGCTGAACCTAAAGCACCAGAATTTGTTCAGCTTCGCCCTGCTGAGCTGTGCTGGGGAGGTCCCAACTGCACCAAGAGCCCTGCAAGGCCAGGCTTCCACCCCTGCCCCCGAGCATCTTCCACTGGCCCAGGTCCCCTGTTTCTGAACACATTTTCTCCTCTCAGTTACAACCCAGAACTCTTATGTAGCAAATCTTTCCCCAGCCCTCAGCAGAAGCACAAGGCTGGGGGTGTCTCTGCCCAAAAGCAGGTCGGTAACTTTCCATGATTTTCTCTCCATGTGATGGCCTCCCAAGAAAACCTTCCAAATTCCAGTTCCACTGAGTACCAATCCTAACCATGAAGACAGTTACATTTCATGCATATAAATTATATATCCAGCATAATTATAATTAATGGGCATGTTGTATATCTGATATAATGCTAATTAGATACTGTATATTTGTAAAATCTTTAAAACAGAGACTCGTGGGTCCAGAATTTGTGAGGGTTTTATCCTTGGCTTTCCAGCCAGATTGGGCTTTGCTTTGTTTTTTTTTGTTCTGTTTTATTTTGGTTTTGGTTTTGGTTTGTTGTTGTTGTTGTTGAATTTGGTTTTGGTTTTGCTTTATTTTTTTTCCCCTTTTATTTGTGTTCCTATCAAATTCTGTAGAACTAACTCACATCAGAACACACTTCTGTGGCCGGGAAAGGGTCTCAGAGGTTTGAAAGCCCAGCCAGACCCAGTGCTGTAACTCCTGGTGCTGGACCCTGTCCATGGTGTGCCCTGGGGGTCCCACCACATGCTGCCCACGCTGCCCGTCCCACCGGCAGCCACGCTCCCTCCTCTGGGTGACACGACTGATTCAGGCTGTAAGAACACTCCTGGACACTTCTCCTCATGTCCTACATTTCCAACTAAATCTTTTCCTACATTAAACCTCACTGAACTCAGCTCTGCCCTGGTCCCTCCCCTCAAATACCTCCCACCTCCCGGCCTTAATGATGTTCCCAGCTCCACATGCCAAGTCCTGTAGCAAACAATGGTCAGGAGCTTGAGTCTCCTCTGGAGGTTTTGAGTCTCCTCTGGAGGTTTATGAGTCTCCTCTGGAGGTTTATGAGTCTCCTGTGGAGGTTTCTGATGCAGCACCAGGTTTGTCAGGGTAGGCAGGAGGAGCATACGTCCTTGCCCCAGTGGGATTTAGAGGCAGGCCTTGGTGGGGTGGCCACATGGCCTTTCTCTTTCCGAAACTGTCCTTGGTATGAGTTCCAGAGCTTTATTCTGCCCCATCAGATGGAGACTGTGCTGAGAAGGATCCATCAGTGAGAGGTGCTGGGGCTTTGTTTGACGGAAACTGAGCTGGGAAGGAATAAATAACAGTCTCTGTGGTTCAGATTTGGCAAAATCATTCTGGACAACAACCAGAACTGTCTGTGGATCAGAGTAGCAGTTCATGGCATGGGAGGGGTGAGAGAGAAAAGGCTCACACCTCCTCTCCTGACCCTTCCCCTGAGGGACACCACTCTCCCCTGACTACCTCCAAGCTCCTCAGCTCAGTCACTGGATATTTCCTCCCAGAAGACAATCCCTGGGACAATATTGCCCTGTGCTGACCTTCCCACAGACCAGTTGGTGACTCTTGTGAGGACAAGAGACACTAACAGGGCTGATGGGGAGTCAGTCCCTGCTGAGGTTCTGGGGCACTTCTATTCACTGTTGGCCCAAGAAAGGCCAGGATTTTCCCTCTTCAGGCAGGGAGACACAAACACTGTGGGAGAGGAGAGGCCACCCCAGAGTCTGCAGGAGCTGTGGTGGCAGAGCCAGAGGAGCAGAGGTGACAGTGTAAGGCATGGGTAGGTGAACACTCCTCTCTTTCCATTCCCATAGCTGTCTGTCTCAAGCTCTAGTCCTTGTCTAAATGTTCCATTTGTGAGCTAAGAAATTGCTGGACCAGATGCAGATTTGGGATTTTTTCCCTCAAGCAGCCCATGCAGATACTGAGCTGTGCCCGTATCATTTGACCCCGGTGTCTTCTCTTATTCTGCCTGGCAAATACCACCAAGCCCTTTGCCAACGTGTCCTACCTGGGCAATTACCCTCCAAAGAAAATTAAGCCCCATTTCCTTGTCTTTTCCACCCACTCAACTGTTTTAAGCAGATGTGTCCCACCCTTTTTGGGCCAAATCTCTTCAGGGACTCTGCCACCACCACAGAAAGTTTTCAGCAAATTTTCTTGGGAAGGAACAATGCCCTTGATACCAGTGGGGCACCCTGTGTTCCCATGGCTTGCTTTGTGTGCTGGGCTGGGTTGGGAGATGGGGCAGTGGTGTTCCAGCACACACAGGTGTTCTTTGGTTATTTTTTTTCCTTATTCCTCATTCTGGAAGTTTATCACTGAACAAATACTTGCTCCGGGACCGGGTGTCATGTCCCACAGCCTGGTCCCAGCACTTCAGTTCCCTGTGATGATAATGGGAACACCTTCCAATTCCACAGAGGGTTCAGACCATGGTGTGAAGGGCTTTGAGACCCTCTCACAACAGAAACTGTAGAGCAGCAAAGTGTTTTTATGACTATTGTTTGTCATTGTCCTGACACATCGTGTGTGATGTGTTACAATCCTGTCTGCCCAGAAGGGGAGTGCTGGGGTGGGCAGATGCCCCATCCCAGATTTCCCATTGCTCTCCTTCTGGCCAGGGTCCCTGGGAGGCACAGCTCCAAGGGGTGCTGTCACCTGCACTGGGACCTCTCTGCTTCCTCCTCCTCATGTCTGAGTCACCACAACATCCTGCACTCAGGAGAAAGGCAGGAAGCAGCCACATTCCTCTGTACAGTGAAATAGAATCTGCCTTGATTAATCCAATATACTCAGAAGAATTGAGTTTTTTCTTCAACCCACAGGTGGAAACACCCCAGTGGAGTGTCCAGTTCCCTGAGTGCATGTGCAGGGACCAGGGGACAGAGTATAGAAAAGTCAATATTATTTCCTAAAAACTGATCATTATTTGCATTCCCTGAGCAGCAACAAAAACCAGTGCTCTGCACTGGGGTTTATACATCAATCTCATGTGTGTGTATGTATATGGACACATATATATATATACACACACACACTGCAAAATGCAACCAGTAATTCTGACTGACCCTGTACCAATTTAAGCTTCAAACTACATCGAATCACTCTTTGAAATGTGGCAAACTACTTTTAATGAACCACACAGAGCACCACATGGAACAGAATTTTGTCATAAAAAGTCTTCTAATGCCAGTGACTCGTGTTTTAAGGAAAAATGAAATATTTTTCAATGTTTTAATGTTCTTTTTATAAATGATGATCTGTTATTTGGATATGGGAGCGGGTGGGAAGAAACAGAGACAGTTTTCTGGGAGCAAGCCCTCCTTTCCTGGCCTAGATTTCATTTCTGTCTGCTGTTCTGGAACCTGGCTGGCTGCAAAGCTGGTCCCATGAACCTGGGCTTCCTGCATGCATCTTTCTGTTCCTGTATCCATCAGAGGCACTCCCACCAGGAATCTGCAAAAGCCTGGCATGCTTTTTGTAAGAGATGGCCAGTTCCTGGGAGCTGGGACATGTCTTCATCTTCTTCCACCACTGCAAACAAACTCACCATCAAACAGGGTAACTTTAATTGTGTTTGAAATATGTGTTCTACTTTGTGATCAATTTGCCATCTTCGGTTCATGTGATGGAGAAACAGCTTGTGTTGGTTTTGTTTCAGATTTAGTGTTCATGTGGAAGGAGGGACTCTGCTGAAATATATCCCACACGGACAGGTCTCGTGTCGGGGTATATTTCCAATGAGCGAAAAGTAGGGGGAACATGTGAGAAAGGGGCTGAAATATTTTCATACCAAGTGTTGTAGCAATAAGGCTGTGCTGGGGCTGCTCCTCAAAGAGCAGCCACTTAGTGCTGTCCGTCAGCAGATGGGAGAAGGGACCGTTCCCAGTTCCCAGAGTCGGCTCTTGGGGTGCCCTCACCAAAACCCAGCTGGGAAAGCCCCTGTGGCAGCCCAGGGTGAGGGGGGAGCTGCACGGTCCCTTTAGGGCGTGGTGGTGTCGATGTGAGTGAGTTCTGTGCCCTCAGCACCCCGTGTCTCCATGGCCACACGATGTCTGGGAGGTCTCCATCCCACTGCCCCCCTGACCCTCTGCCCCCTGTGCCCCCCTGCAAACCCCTCAGACATTTTTGTAGCAAGAATTTCTTGGCTCTGAGAAAGACACTTCTTACTGTAATATTTTTAGTTTCGGGGGACAATATTTCCTAAGAGGGGTTAAGTGGATATTTTTGTGCTTTAGCCCAGTTTATGGATTCCATGTTTATTATACAGTAGTACTGAAGAGGAAGTACATTTGTATCTGTAATTTGCACAGACTCTTGGTTAACCATTAAACAAGCTTCAAGATGAGCAGTATTTGACTGTTTTTCTCTGTATTATTCTTGTTGTTATACTTACCTGTAAAAGCACATTCTGTATGTACTGTAAACAAAAATATTATCAGTTTAGTAAAATTTAGAGTCTTAAGGATTTTTCCACTTTTGTCAGTAACAAATATTTATGGATTAAAAAATAAAGGCAATTTCAACATAGAAGTTGTTTCTTTTTGATATCTATTGGGGGGAAATAAAAGCCATTTTCTTGGCGGCCTTCCCAATATTTGTAACCAGCGTTTGAAAGGTAGATATCTGTGATTCTGTGTGTAGTTAAATAGCATCTATTAAACTGAATGCTGCAAGGTCTGCAGGAGTCATTATTTTTATGTATTTATTTACTGCATTTAATCATCAAACCAGAAAAAGAAGCAGGGAAGAAACAAGACATTACCATTTGCTGTAAAATTCTGTCTTGCAAGCCTTGAAGATTTTATTTTAAAGTTGCCCTTCTCTAAGTTTGCATCCATAAGCTGTGATATTCTCTCCATCTTTGCCTTGAATTGCAAAGTTGGGACTTGTGGAGTGTCTGGAGGCTTCAACATGGGCTTTGCTTTGCTCTTGAACACACAGGAGTTTCCCCATCTTTCTTCCAAGATGTGAAACGTGCTGAGGAGACATTTGTGTGTCTGACTGAACAGCCCCCAGAGGGTCAAACTGTATTTTCATTTCTCCCAGCTCTGAA